TTGGAGGTATGTATGCATGTATGATTGCTATAAGCATACATAATCTTTGTTTTTCCTTGTAATATTCGGATTCAATGGTGTGTTTTAGACATAGGAATGTTCATGGGTTGGGTCAGGTCAGCGATTTGGCCTACCCAAATTTAACCTAACTCGAATTTAGAGAAATTTCATCGACTTAAACGTGATATGATTTTTGGAGTAAAAACTCACATCTTACCATACATAAATATATATAAATCTCATTTTTATTAGGAGGAATAGAGACGTAACTGAAAGAAAAAAAAATATAGAAAGAGATATTATAATATTTTTTTTCAAATATATAAAGTTAATTATATTAGGTCGAGTCAAATATTTTTCATTATAAACTTAAACCTGATTTGACTCATCTTTCAAAAACAAAATCCCAACTCGAGTCAAACTTAAATTTTCAACGACAAAGAAATTTAACTCTATAAAATTTGATTGGGTCAAAACCCATGAGATTCCTGTCATATATCCATTCTTTATGTAACCTACACTAATAAACTTGATTTTTTCATAAATGTGGAGGATCATTTTCCAAGTATATACAGCATGTATGGTATATGTATAAATGTTCAAAATAAGGGTCCTGACATTTTAGGGTTACTCACAAGGTTCAACCTTTAAAACAGTCAAATAATGACATAATATTCTCAAATATGTTCAAATAGGGCCTAATCTTTTAAAAATCAAATAAAGATCTAACTTTTCACGTCTATTCAAATAAGGATCTCGAGTAGTTCAAGATTTATCTCGTCTCATTTACAACCCTAGACATAATATTCTCAATATTTTCAAATAGGGCCTAATCTTTTAAAAAGTCAAATAAAGATCCAACTTCTTCAAGTCTCCAAATAAGGATGTAAGATTTTTGTTTGATTGCAGAAACACTTGAACCAGAAGTGAAGTTCCTTAGTGTGGCAATCGTGCTCCTGATAGGGAAGACATAGTTCTTGCAATCCCCGTTGATGGAAAGCCTCATGGCTTATGGTTTACACTGAAAGAAGCTAGCCATTATCGCCTCAAATTCACTTTCCAATTAGCAACAACATCGTATCTGGTCTCAGGTACACCAACACTGTCTGGAAAACTGGTGTCAAAGGTAAAATTTACTTACCCCCTTCCTACTATCTAATTCCATCATAAATCGTCCGAACACCACTTGAAGAATTTGAACTTTTTCGGTTTCAGTTTACAGCACGAAAGAGATGATCGGAACTTTTAGTCCTCAGTTGGAGCCTTACACGCATGAAATGCCTGAAGAGACTGCCCCTTCTGGCTTCTTGGCTAGAGGATCTTACACTGCTAATCAAAGGTTAACTTTTTTTCCTACAAATAGTGTTATTTAGGGAGTGATTTGACAGTTTACCATTCTACTACCTCATAAAGGGATAATTTCTCTTTCCAGTTAAAACTATAATTGAGGCTTAATCCCATTCTTCTTCGAAAACTTCATGTGAAGATCAGATCAGATCAATATAAGGGCCTCATTTTGGGTATAAAGTTTGAAAGGCTGGATTAATCTTAGGAGGCAACGTCGTGATTACAACTATTTAAATGAAATTATTTTTAATGCAATGGTTTTCGTCTCATCCTTCTTGGAAAACTTCTTGTGAAGTGATCAACATAAGTAGGCCTCATTTCGGACTACGAGTTTAGAAGGTTGTATTAATTTTGGGAGACAACGTCTATTACAGTGATTACAATAATCCGACGAAATTATTTCTAATACAATGACTTTTACAATGACACTAAAATTGTGTAGTTTCTTTATTTTAATTATTATTATTTGCGATAGTCATGATTTGCAGCAGTATACTTTACTAACAATATTCATATCTGACATCAACTATCTCTGAATTCGAGTAACATAAGTTTTTACATAAGTTTTTTTCCCCGTATTCTTTTATTTTCAGTTCCTTGTGATGATAACAAGTGCTACTTGGAGATCAACTACACATTTGCCATCAGAAAAGATTGGGGGTTCTGATGAATAGATCAGAACAACATCTGATAATGAAATGCCAAGCACACTTCATTGCATGTTCTTATTATGCCTATTTTTCCTTCAAGCAGCTTAGTTTTGTTCCCCCACAATAAACCAAGTGATGAGATGAGAAAGGTTTCACTTGGCAAGTTTAGGTTTTATTATGATTATGAGCAAATTGGGTTTAATTAGCATGTTTTTTTGTTAGGGACATTCTTTTCATAATTATGAGCAAATTGGGTTTCACTTGGCAAGTTCAAGGTTTTTATTGATTATGATGTTTTCTTTCTCGTTTTTATAATTAATTATTCTTGTATGTAGTGATGATTCTAATAATTTAAATTACGATATTAAAGTTTATAATATCTAAATATATTTTAAAATGATCTTAGATTTTTTAAAATATTTTTTTATAAAATAAAAAAAAATGACATCGTACATCGACGACGATAAACTTCAAATGACTAGGTAAAAAAAACGATTTTATGTGTGAAGTTTAAAATGACATACGATGACGAGAAGTGCTCTACCGGTGAGAGTCCAACAGATAAGGGGTGATAGGTGATGTTTAATTCGACGGTGACATACGAGATTTAAGAATTTGAGTAATTTTAAGTTTTTTATTTTTATAGAAAAGTAATGATTGATTTATTTAAAAATAAAATTAAAAGAAATAAAAAAAAACATGTTATATGTCTTGATAATAGATGTTTATGGTAACTTTGAATTGATAAAAAAAATCTTCATGCACATAAAGTTATCAATTTAAAATTTCGAATTATTCGAATTGTATTTTATAACTAGATTTAAATTTGATTTTTTTTCGACTCAAGTCGAGTTTATGAAATTACAACTCAAAGTCAATTCAAGTTGATTTTTTGAGTTGAGTCGAGTTGAAAAAATCGATTTTTCGCGTCGAGATGATTTTTTCTCACCCCTACCCTCATGACATTTGTTTTCTGATTGGTTTGTCGGTAGCAACATATAGTCAATCCTCTATTTGGAAAAATGTTATTTACCGATATAATCAGAATTTTGTAGCGAAACAATTTGCCAAATAGTTAGTTCACTCACCACTCTTTTATCACTTCGTAAAACATCTCGTTCAACAGATATAGTGAGTTTTTTTACAAAGATCGTTGGATTTTTTTATGTTGGTCATTATATCAATGGAATGTTTCGTTTTCCTTTGTATCATTGAGTTAATATTTTTTTTTCGCATAAGTTTTTAGTGACTATTGTCCCTATTTTTTTCTCTATGCTTGGGTGTATTGTAATTCTGATTCCTTCCATTATTTTATAATAAAATCCAGTTTTCATGGGGCTGTTGGGATGGAGGAGAGTCGACGGAAACTTTCGAGCACGTACGCTGGGTCCCAATCCTTCTCGTTGGTATCCATCGTCTGAACATTGGATTAAGCTTAATACCGATGGCGCTCAACGTGATTCGAATGGTTACGCTTCCTGTGGTGGCGTAGCTCAAGATAGTTCGGACTCTTGGCGGTTTGGTTTTATAAGTTCATCGATATTTGTTCGGTCCTTAATAGGGATGGCAACTCAACCCGAATTCGACGGGTTCCGACCCGACCCGACCCGATCGGGTCGGATTTTTTTAAAAAATTTCGGGTTCGGGTCGGGTCGGGTCGGGTTTTTTTAAATGTACTGTTCAGGTCGGGTCGGGTTAGGGTGAAAAAAATCCGACCCGACCCGAAAAATATATATAATTTTATCCTATATATTTAGGGATAATTACAATAATGTCCCTCCATATATAATTTTTTTCAATTAAGTCACTGTTTTCATTGAATAAATTTTTTTTATTATTTTCGGGTCGGGTCGGTCGGGTCGGGTTTCTAAGTCATATATTCGGGTCGGATCGGATCGGGTGAAACCTTAATTTCGTCGGGTCGGGTCACGGGTGAAAAACCATTTCTTCTCGGGTCGGGTCGGTGGCCCAAAAACCCGACCTGACCCGACCCATTGCCATCCCTAGTCCTTAATGTGGGATTCAAATACATTGTCTCGAGCTTGATAGTCTTGAAGCTCTTCAGATGCTTCAGAATGATTACCATGGCCATCATCCTTTGATTAAGCATCTTGCCGATCTTTGTCATCGCCATGGATCGTTGAGATTAAGCATGTGTGCCGTGAAGATAATAAAATGGCTGATGCTCTTGCAAAGTACGCAAATCCTAATTCTTTTGATCCTATATTGTTCCATACTGTGCCAGCCTTGGTGGAACCTCATACAGTTGACAACTTATGCGTGTAGGACCTGGATGTAGAGTGGTTTTGTTTTGCCTTCCCCTATGTTGGGTTTTGATGGTTAATGGATGTTTATTGTTTGTTGTAATTGGTATTTATCACATGTACTCTTTTCCTCCGACTAGGATTACGAGTGTTTTAATGAGGCATGTGATAATACTTTCCTATGTGTTTTCATCTATGAATTCATACCTTTTTACCAAAATAATAATTATTATTAATGACCACACAATTCTTATTCCTTACAATCAACTAGGACGATGCTTTACTGGCAAATTAAGATGATTTTTCTGAATCATTACTCAAAATTTCCCAACAAGTCATCCAAATACTACTCAGATGAATAGAATCTAACATTGCCTGTTAAAGTAAGCGATTCTACAGCCCAAGGCAGAGAAATATATGCAAATGAGCTTCCCTCCAATGCAAGCACAAAAGTTCCCCAATGCCAACTATAAAGTATTGTAACCAGATGATGATTGGATAACAAAACAAAACTATGCAACCGGTGGATCAAAGCTGCAATTACTATACCAAGAAACATACGGCGAAAAGGTTGGATCGGGTTTAGTCAGGGGAACCACCCTTCCATAGGATCAGGCCATCAAGAGCAGTGAAATAAAAAGTAAACACATTGATGGGTGGATGTAGCAGCTGCTGGGATTAGCAAATGGCAATAGAGTTTAGTTAAATTCTAGACAGTTAAAGGAAGTGTCACCTTTTAACCGTTTTCTGCTACTGGTTGTGTACCGATTACAGAGAATCAGAAAACAAAGCAATCCCTATTGCACATTCTCCGAGTCGAGGCATAATCAAATGTTTTCTTTCCTTTCCCCTCCTTTGCAACTTTCTCTAGCAAAACAAATTGAACTACATAGCTAGCTTTCCAGGTGCTTAGATTAATCCCCACCTTATTCTCTCCTCTATTTGTGCTTTTCCCTCTTCAACCTTGGCCCTTAGTTTCTGTTCCTGCAAGTTCTGATTCGAACATTATACAAGAACACAGAACATCAAGCAAACATCTAATGGCAGCAAATGGGAGTCAAAGATTTAGTGTGTGTGTGTGGGTGTGTGTGTGTGCTTAATGAAGATATACCTTCTGTTCAGTCCCGCTTAATAGACGGGGTAGGTAGGAAAATGATGGCAATTTGAGAAGATGAGTTTAGAGAATGTCATAATAGCCCTTTTGCTTCCTAGCATTCTTCCTTCTTGTCATTGGGATTTAGACCATCTATTGTTATATGCTCCTTTGAAAACAATAAATCATTTCCAAGGGAATTTTCCATTTCAAATTCGGACTGTTTCCAGTTGTCTGGTGAGAACTTTGGTTTTCTTTTATCATCTCCATTGATTCTTCCTTGTACTGATAAACCAGGAAATCCAGTCTCTCTATGCTGACAAGCATTGGACAAATCCAGAAAAAACATTGTCTTCTTGAATCTGGAGATAAGACACGCTTGGTTGACCCAGGCCCAACATTGAGAATATCGGAGAATCATCAACATTCGTATGATTAAATGGTTGGCAAAAAGCAAACTTCTCAGAGGTGAAAGAGTCGAAAGGTGAACAGTGGATGGCTTCACTGCTTAGGTCTATCAAAGCAAGATTTGTCATCAAGATTGAATTCAGGAACATGAAATGCACCAATAGGATCTTCAGCCCACAGCTGGGATCCTAGAGACGGAATGTTTGCCTCTGGGGTGCAACCGGAATAGCTGAAACCCAAATCTATATCAACTGAATTGCATCCTTCCTTGAGAAACCATGTCTGAGATGGTCCTATTTCCCCTTGGAGACAACAGCTTGCAGGCTTGCTGAATTTTGACTTGGCAAGAACTGGTGTCCTCATATATTTCCAGATGATTTCCAAAGATTATCCCCGTCTTGGTAATGTGTTTCCTCGGCAAAAATATTGTCCAAATCATATTTCATTCTGGTCCTACCAAATGTACTGCTTATTCTTCTGCTCTGCTTCATCCTGGTCCTACCAAATGTACTGTTTATTGTTTCACCCTTCTCTGCAATTAAATATTTTAAATGATTGCTTTAGGTTCAAAAGATGAGCTTTTCATTAAAGAATATAAAATGACAATAAATTGCCAAAGAAATTTATGAAATCAAGCTTAACCTGCAGTAGAAGAGCATGATTCTTCACTGCCAAAGTTTGAGAGAGAAAAAAGGAAAGATGTAAGTTGTAGTAAGGCCATCAAACCAACCTTGAAAAAAAAAGTTCCTATAATTTACCTCAGCAAGCTCAAACTATCCGTTGCATCTTCAGTCTCAAAAAGAGGCCAATCTGGTTGGGCTGGCAAATCTCTAATATCATAATTCCTTTTAAATGGGTTATACCTCCCACTGTATGAAAGCAACTTTACTATTTAGAAAATTACTATATATATATATATATATATTTGGGTGGGAAAAAACCCAACAGCAACAACAAATTAAAAGCCAAGTTTCCCATGTACCTTTGGAGGGAACATTTCATACCTTACCCCAACTGAAGTGAAATCATGACCAACTTGTGGTGACAAACACTTTGTAGAAGGATCTGATCATGGAAAAAGAGAAAGCATTAGAGGTGATAGCAAAGAATTAGTTGCAATGTGTAAAATGAACAATAAGAATCATGAATCATGGAAAAGAAAACTAACGGCAATTAAAACTAAGATTTACCATCCCATATATCTTCCCTTATGTTGTAGGAAATGTCAGTGTCACCAAAAGAACACTTACTGTTTCTGGAAAGGCTGTCAAATTACATGTTGTCAGCAAAACTGGAGAGGTTTGGCTTCTAATTTCTATGCGAATCAATTATATCCATTGAGAATCACGAAGGATTGCCACCAGTTAAATAGTGCACTTTGGAGTGTGATCAGATTTATCCATCAACAAGAATTTCAAGTTGGCAACAAAAAAATATTTTCTTCGGAGAAATCTCATATTCCCTTCTTTTACGATATAGGTAAACCACAGATTTTAATTTCGAGAATCAATTAATTGTTGCTTGTAAATAGAAATACCATTTTAAATAAAAAATAAATCTATGAAGTATGTAATTCATAGAAAGTATATGAGAAATCTTACAAAATATTCATTACCTGCCCTTTTTCTTTGGGGAGTGCAATGGAGTCTCTGTTCTGATTTTACCTAAACCTGATAAACCAAAAGAATTTTGAGTGATACCATGTTATTAGGATGTTGAAAATCAAAATATGCATCAGTATATTGATAACCTACAGGAAATAAAGTAATTAATTGAAGTTGAGATAAAATCTTCAACGATGCGCTAACTAACCAGTAGAGACTAAATGGGTAAGGATAACTGTATTAGAAGTATGCTCTATTTTAGACACTAGTCACTTTCTTTGCTACTATTTTATTCAGAATATCCACTCATCTTCCGAAATTTTCTAGAGTATTCAACTTTTAACTTAATACGATTCTTTTATTAATATTTACAGGCAATTGTAAAGTTAACTCTTTATTTCAAACAGTGATAAATACAAAATAAAAAGAGGAAATGTGATGAAAATCCACTTCTGCATGACCAACTGCCTTAATCCTTCCCTTAACAGTTATTGTGTAAGATCATACCTTCAACTGAAAATGCAACATGAGCTTCATGAACCAGCCTTCTCTCTGAACTCACTTCTGATTCATCACTAATAAGCATGTCGAAAACAGATAGTTCTGGAAAAGTAAACAATGGAAGAAAAGTTTGATGAGAACAATATATTCAGTATAAAACATTAAGAAAAAAAATCCATACTAGTATCAGTTACAAATTGCAATAAAAAGTAATATACTTTTCAGCTAGCAACAATCCCGACAGGACATGGAAATTGTAAACAAAACTAGTTGAGATCTTTTATATTAACAATAGCCCAACATTACAACTTACGGTTCTCAGTGGCTGCATTCTTCAGATCCAGACTATTATTGGCAACATTCTTCAGATCCAGACTATTATTGGCAACATTTAAATCATAATTGTCATGATCCCCAAAAGAAACCCTGTGCAACAAAACAAGCATTAGCTTTTGCAATAGCGCTCTTGATGATTTGAGAGTAGTCTTTGTTTTAGTCAATGTATAGTTATTATTTCAAAATATTATTGTTTAAGCATTTTTTTTGGTAAAAGCAGACACAATAGTATTTAAAAATTTACATGAAATTGTTAATATAAATAATAGTAGCTATGCTTAATTTTTTGGGGGTGTCTCTGCCAAGAACTATCTAAATAAAAAATGAGATGTTTGATTTTATGTAGTAGAGGATATTTTTAGTTACAAAAATGAGAAATCTGAGCACTAGCAAGGTGACATAAAGTAATGACCTACTTTGGGTATTGTAACTCCCCTTGGTAGCTTGATGGTGGAGCACATGTACCTGCACCTGCACCTGCACCTGCACCAACAAACGACATTTTGCACCGAACACCATGAATCCCGAAGAAGTAACACCTTAGTTCACAAAGTTATGCACAACGATATTAATGGATACCTTTTTCCTTGATTTTAACAGAATAAGGGGGGACTAAACTTGAAATGATTATTGCTGGATCCTTTGGCATTTGATACTTCAAAGTCGAAGCACCAAACTTACCATGACTCCCTACTTGATTGCAAACATAAAATACAAAAGGGGAAAAATCAAGGTTGGTCAAAATATGAGCAGCAGCATAAAATGCATTGCATCATCAATGTATAAAAAAGTACTGATCTCTAGTGAGGCAATTCCTATGACTAGCACATAGTATCCCTTATATAAGCGTGCCTATAAATATTGAGTTAGATACAGTTCCCTTGGTAAATAGATATTGCCATATCTTTCAAATTTACACATGATGCAATTACCAGACAAACACACATATCAATTAAGTCACTGAAAATCATGGATTTAAATTGTGTTTGTGGTTGTACTTCCAGCCGCATTGTGTTTATCCTACCTTGGTCAATGTGGCATCGTGGTCGTGAATTGTTTTCTAGTTCTCATAACTCATTGTAAAACATAACAATTATAATTATAAAAACCATTTTAATAATTTTTACATAAAAAAATCGATGATAACAGAGAATAGTTGTGCGCTTTTGCCACTATTTAATTATAGCACTTTTTGTGGCCAGTATTGGTGCGAGATTTGTTCAGCACTGCCATTTGATGGTTTAGCAGTCGCGACATTGCTATCGGACCGCTATTTCAAGATAATATATCCCTGCAGTGAATGAAAATATACCCTTGACAAATGAAAGGGTGACGAGGACAGGAAAATATGATCGAAGATAATTTCAAGAGAAAATTTTTTTTGTTACATTTCTGTTGTAGAAGAGCAAAGTATGGAGGTCACAGATGCAGACCAGTATCAATTATCATCTAGACATTTCAAGTGGTCTCATTTGTGTTGCATAAATCAGTTGGCCAGAAAAAGAAATTTAAGAAACTTACTGCTGGGGTAACCCTTACCTTCAGCAGAAACAGTTGAAAGGTCTAGCAAGTTAAGGATATCCAGAGATTGACATTCCTTTTGATGTCGTCCAGCTATGGTAGTTTCAACAATATGACCCTCAGCAACTGCTCCCTTTTCTTTTTGTTTCCTTTGTTCAAAGTATTGTTTTTGCCTTGACATTAACAAGAAGAACAAAAAGAAAGCATCAATTAGAAAATAATTTCCACAAAAGTAAGACGCAGTTTATTGGATTTCATGGTGCAGTTAGAAAATAATTTCCACAAAAGTAAGACGCAGTTTATTGGATTTCAGGTGCAGTGCTTGACAGGGCAGGTAATGATGATAACAAATAAAAGAAAAAAATAAACAAGTTGTGTACCTGTCAGTGTAGATCTCTCTTGACTGAAGTTGTGGAGAAACAGGACAGCATGCACAAAATGTTAAGTGAGAACAGATATTGTTTATGATTTGGGGATACCAATTACCAAAATGTGAAAATACAATGTGTGGCATATATAATATATATATATAATATATATTGAGAAGCAGACAGTAGTAGTGAAATGTTGTGGAGAGTTGAGTGAGTAGTAGAAATTAACTAGTAAAAGATGTTCAGCAAAAAGCACCAAGTAAAAACATCTGACCGAGTGCGTGAGTCAATCAAAAGTGAAATTCAGATTATGTAAGGCTTACAACTGTGACTTCCGTCTTGATCCCCCCATCCATTGCAACATTGTTTGCGACCTCTCAACAAATACTTGAAAATCTTGAATAGAATGCAACAGAATAGTTGAAAAAGCAGATTCAGAGAGCAAATAAGCCTATAATTCAAATTAAGCGCTGAAAAACTAAAGAGTTTCAATCAAATTAATGAAGAATCGAAACATTGAGACCTGAGATGAAACATGAACTAATAATCTAGAAAGAGCAGGAGACAAAATCCGTTTTCAGTATGGAGACAAAAAAGAAAATGAGTGAATTTTGATTTTCTATAAATCAATCATTCAATCCGTTCCATTCATTCAGTCTTAAAAACCAAGGATTTATCTTCTTACCTGATACGATAGAGATGAAAGAGAAATGGTGAAAGCTCCCGCTGCCCAGCCCTCCGTTAGCTTCAAAACTTGGCAACTCCGTGTGGCGTAACAGAGTTGCAAACTGTAGGGATTTGAATTATCTTTCGAACTATATATAGATTGGAGTTCTATTGAGTGTTTGGCTTTAGAATGCTATTGGAGTACACCCCACAAATATCAACTTTTAGTTAACGACAACATGATGATAGTAGTTTAAGAGTGTATGTTCTTTGGAAAGACCTCGGATAAAGTGAAGAGAAAATTGTCTCAGACAAAAATGCCTTTATAATATACGATTTTAACTAATTTTTTCCGGATTTGCCAAAATGACCAACAAATCGTAATGCGATCGCTAATTCGCAACGCGTCTCCATTATCGCAAATTCGCGTTGCATTTCGCGTTGCGATAGTTGAAATCGCGTGCGATGGTCTACAGTGTCGATTTTTCCCAATTCGCAATGCGAATAATAAATCGCAACGCGAATTGGAAAAATCGCAATGCGATACTGACTATCGCAATGCGATACTATCGCAATGCGATAATACAAAATCGCAACGATATACTGACTTTCGCAACGCGATTCTAACTTTCGCAACGCGATTTACATAGCGCCATTCGATTAACGCGTTTTTTTTTTTTTCAAATTCCAAACACGAATTTTTTTCTTAATAAATCGGAAACTGAACCGCCACAGTAATCGCAACTCATAACCTCAAACCCAAACACAACACTCATCCCATCTCCATCTCTCACATCTCTACGGTGAAATCCGTCCCCATCTTCGAAGATTTCCGTCCCCATCGCCGGCGAAATCCCTCACAACCATTCACAGTCAAAAATCCCTCACAATCATTCAGAAATGGGAAAATCAACCTCCGAGGGTTAGTTTTTTTAATTTATTTTGAAATTTTTACATATTTTAGGTTTTCATATTGGATTGATGATAAGTTTACTGGTAATTTCAATAATAGATTAACCATTTCACTTAGATTTCTTATTAAATTCATTCGATTGCTGCAATACTGCTAAACTGTTTAGCCTGTGAAGTTATATTGTCTTTGTTTTGTCTTTTGGTTGAAGTAACAGAAGAAGAATAGTTTCGAGAATGAAAAATCGCAATGCGGAAATAACTATCGCAACGAAATAAAACGCAACGCGAACCAAAATCGCATTGCGATTTTCACGCGCTTCGTTGCATTTTCATTTCGCGTTGCGATTATCTCGTTGCGATAGTCATTCGCGTTGCGATTCTCATTATCTCGTTGCGATTTTCATTTCAACCAAAAGACAAAACAGTGTTGCAAATTTTAGTTTCAAGAATAAACTACTATTTATGTTTATTGTTTTTGGTATATCTTGACAGTGTAGTTTTTGGTATATCTAACTTGGTATGTTTTGTTGTTTTGTAGAAATTTTTTTCGGCTTCATTGACATTAAGGAATAAAGTTAGCCTAGCCACTACAATTGCTTCGAAGCTTTCACCTGCACAAAGAAAATTGTTTGAGGAAACCTGCTTCGGGCCAGGCTGAGAGTACAGCATCCGGTGGAGATGCTAATTTGACCTATTTGTGGCTTCAGACCATGACTAGATCTACCCGATATACAACGTGGTGAGGAAGAGATTGGTTTCATTTTCCACCGGCGTATACTTGTTTTGGGCGGAAGGAGTTTTGCTTAATCACTGGTCTACGATTCGGACACGATGATGTAGGCCGATACACTCGTCATATCACCCGTCCATCATGGTTATCCAGGGTTTTTCCTGATGAGTCAATAGAGAAGCCGAACTTACACGTCGACGACATGAAGAATTGTTTAATAAGAAAGATGGTTTTACTCGGATGAATGACGTCGATGTTGTCCGAGTATGCCTTCTACTACTTTTGTATGCCGGCTTTTTAGGCAGAGAGGCCAGACAACCTATTCCTCAGGAGCTAATATATTGGTAGAGGACCTAAATGCATGGAATCTGTTTCCGTGGGGTTCGTATATATGGAAAGCTACCTGGACTAAGTTGTCGTCTGCCTTTGATGACCGCAAAAGTTTACGGGGCGATGGGTCGAAATACACTTTGTCAGGCTTTGTTTGGGCCTTTAAGGTAAGAATTTCTATATAATGTTTTCAAAATTATAATTAATTATTTAACAATTACTAATGTTTGTTATTATATTGTTTGTAGATTTGGATATTCGAGGCCTTTCCCGCCATGAAGACATATGCAATAAAAACTTCAAATGATATTCCCAGGGCTATTTCCTGGAAGAAGAAACGTCTGTTGAATTGGGAAGACTTAATACCATATGCGACAATAAATAATGTAAGTTAACACAAATACTATCATATATAACAAGTTATTAATAGTAGAAACTTTGTTTGAGTTTTTATATTTTTAGGAGGCCAACATTCCATTATGAGACTGACACCCCGGAGGCTGAGCTTGCCACTGATTGGTGGCAAGCTAGTCAGCGTTTTCTTGATGGCACGAATGATGAGCAACCCCTTCCTCCACTTCGAGAGCCATCACCTCACCCAGAGCCATCACCTGATCGACCCGACTATACACCTCTACAACGAGAGCCATCACCTATCCCTCACATCATCGAGCCTCTTCTCCACCATCACCTCATGATAGGCGACCGGCAAAGATGCCACGACTTCTATCTCCCTGTTCCCACCTCCACGGGATGAGTCAAGGGAGTTACGTGATGAGGTCAATGCCTTGCGTGAGGAGATCGGTACTCTACGCGATAACGATGGTGCATGGCGTGTGGAGGTCAGCCTTGCGTGAGGAGATCAGTACTCTACGCGATAACGATGGTGCATGGCGTGTGGAGGTGTCTACTTTACGTGGTGAGGTTACCGCTCTAAGTGAGATGGTAGTATCGTTGTAGAATGAGGTTCATACTCTACGCAACGAGGTAAGTTTAAGATTTTCCATATTTAACTTGATGATAAATTTACTCGTAATTTCACTTAAATTAACCATTTCACTTAGATTGCTTAGTAAATTTATTGGTTGCTTCCAATACTGCTAAACTGTTTATTAACACTGTGAAGTTAGTATTTGTCTTTTTGTTTTGTCTTTTGGTTGAAGTAAATTTATTCGGTTGCTGCCAATTCTAAACTGTGTATTCTTTAACACTGTGAAGTTAGTATTGTCTTTGTTTTGTCTTTTGGTTGAAGTTTTGAAATATATTTGTCTTTGTTTTCACTGTTTAAATATCATGTCCGTTTATTTACTGATATTTATTTAATTATTTAGCGGACCATAAGGTGGATGCTTTACATCGGGTTTTTCTTGCACGACAGAGTTCACGCATCAGACGGCGTGCACGTGCTATTAAGTCTCCGTATACCCCAATAGTGCGAAGACACCGCAAGAAGCCCGACTCGCCTGTCATCCCTCAAAGTCCACTCCTATCGTTGAGAGGCCCCTATCATTCCTCGAGAGTCCCCTCCCACCGTTCAAGAGGCCACTGTCATCGTTGAAGAGGTCCCTCCCACCATTCAAGAGCCCGATTCATATGGCGTCATATGTAGGATTCTTGAGAAACCCTCTGACGTGCCGGACATGATGGATTCAAGTTGGCTCTCGTATGAGTTACCGGCCAGTACCATACCGGTATCTGAAGAGAGAGGAAACAACACCGGACACAATTCTGGATAACACCCTTTGGGCTAAGACCGCAGTTGATTTTTATCTACATGAGCGAAGCCAGGGGTGTTTCACTGACATATGCAAGCTCAATGATGATATCTATTTGTTGCTTGATCGGTCTTGGTGGGGCGTATTATTAGGAGTCGAAGACAATGGCTATTTCGATGGAGGGGTAAGTCTTATATTTTTCTTATATTTTAATTTGATTATTTTTTTGTAAATTTATGTAAGTTACTAATATATTCTTTTTTTTTGTAAAACAGCATATCGATGCGTGGGTGTCACGTCTTCTAATAATTAGGAAACTTAAGGAAAATAAAAGAAATACACGATATACAATTATGCCGACGTCTTTTAACGCCGTTCACTTGAAGAATCAACGAGATGAATCATTTGCGTTGGGCAATGGACAAGCTAAACTTTATCCTGCATGGTGGGTCGATAA